ACCGTTCACAACACTTGTTTTGGGTACTATGCGTAGAACGAACTATAAATATATTGGTAAAACAAAATAAATGTGCCGCATGCATTATTGTTATTTTCGAAATACGTAAGGTATCTCCCAAACAGATCAGACCCACTGGCAACAAGATTAATGTCCGTATAGTATCTGACTGTTTATACAGTCTCTGACATAACAACAAAGCCACATCCGGGGAATTTTGAATTATTGATTAACCATCGTATTATTCACTTTATTCAAACGCCGCAATATCCGAGATGCTGTCTGTCAAATTAAGATTACAAGATTTTGACTCTAAGAAATTATACATTATACATTATGTCACGATATCAAGGTTGGATCAAGCAGCTGTAGAAAAATTGTCCATTATTTGTTTTCATTTCAGTATCTCATTGATGTTACGCGAATGACTGATATTGAGAGTTTGATAGAACCATACTGTGGTATAATGCACACAGATTCACACGAACATGTGTATGAAACAAAGAGTATATTCTTCGATTGTTACTTACAGATTCCGAATCGGACGAAAAGTGTACAGTTTATTTTTGAAAAACATAACCTCTCTGTTGATTACATAAGCACGTTTGGCTCTCCTGAAACCTAGTGTATCGCGTGATTTGTAGTTTTGTTTTATTATCTCGCCCGGTATTTTGTATATGATAAACTAAATACACCAGAGTACACGGGAACTGATAACTGAAGCGTTTTCGAAGATGTAGCATCTCCCGAGATTCAATATGTCATGTGAGATTACGTTATAATATATTCCAAGACAAGTTACATCACACGCGTACAAAATCCAAAAAAAACCCCGATGATTATGTTCTTTAGAATAAAGAATTACGAAACAATAACATGCTATGTAAATTAAACTGGTAGGTTTTGAAGGAATTTGATACACAGTGTTTTACAAAAACGGGACACAAAAAGCTTTGATTTGACGACATTGCGCTTCGAGCTAAGTAATAATGTATTTGTAATACGTCAGTTGTCAAACAGAAACACGTCTGCCCATTAATTTGAAAACATATTTGTACCATGAACGTATGTGATACATACTTTTGAAAAAAAAGGTTATATATAGTATTAGGAAGAAGTGTGACGTGGCGGTTGATGAGTAGGACACACACCTTACGTAATTGAACGCAAGAAACGTTGTTTCATTCGTTGTTGTAGGAAAATTGTTTCATTCCCTTTGACGTATGCCGCACTTGCTTGTATTCTCGAGTGTCTTCCAATACAATAATGTTCCTGCTTTATTATACATCTTGCAAGAGATTTCAAAATTCGAATAGGCAATGAGTGTTAATTAATTCATCCATTTTCATTAACATTGTTCAAATACACATTACGCTCATTTGTGCATTGGCGAAATCGATCATAGATAAGTAGTAATTACTGTGAAGCCTTTACAAATTTTCTATATAATTCAGTGCCTGGTTTACAACGTTATTACTCATTCGAACAAATGACAGTCTATGAATATGGTTGTATGTTTATTCGCTAATTTGTCTTTTCTGTGCCACTGAATATTTCGAGATATACCAATTATAGTATGGCTTACACAGATCGCAAATCGTAGAAATGCAAATCACAAAAATAAAAAAAGTGGATTTCCTCGCTAGTTTCTTACAGCATATTGGGTTGGAAAACTGATTGTCACTGTGTTGCACGTGGACCAGTGCTGTGCACATAACACTTTCCGTTACGTATACTATACATATACTTATTTTGGAGAACGCGAAGAGACGTTGAGATTTCTTAGACAGTTTTGTGGAATGCGTGATATGAGGCTATCCATTCGATCGTACACGCTCGTACAAATGAATGATAGACAGATAGACAGAGGTGAGATCCCTAACCATTCAGACAAGTGCTTAACCACTCTTTTTAAAGCTTAGTTTGTGACTGTATGCCACGAGGACCAATTTAAAAACAATCAACATTTTAGAAAAATCGACGAATGTCACCAGGCTGATGACATCGTGACAGGAGTTCATTAAAATGGAAATATAATTTGACCTCCGCCTGGAAGCCGTATAATAAGTATATATTTGGATAAAGCCTGTCATATATGATATATATAACAAATGTTTCAAATGGCTAGCCAATAAATATCCAGTATTCACGTAGAAGATAAATAAGAACAGTTTACAATTAAATCGAGGAGATTCTGCTGGGGTGAACATTAACGTCAAGCTGGATGAAATACTGATTTGACTATGATCTGATTGTATGATTCATTCTGAGATAATACTATCAAGTTAGATACATCAAGCTAGTAAACTATTGAATGGCTAGTAACACATATAAATTACCTGGAACATTTATAACTGCTAATTCAACTGAGGCGAAAAATAACAAACCATACCAGTACAACCAAAGCACCAACCTGGTTCAAACCTTGTACGCCGTAAATCCCCAAATTTAGATTAAGTAATAACTATTTTTTTCTAAATCAAATGAAGCTAGCGTAGGATTGTATTTACAATGAAACAAAGTTCACATAAAGTGATAAAAAGATGATTAGACATTTCATCAATTTTTCACAGAAATCATCCTAAGAGAGTGACGATTTGATTGGACATGGAAGGCATCTTTTAATTGACCACTGAACACTGATGTATTTTTGTGTTGGTATCTGAGTTGAGTGAGGCTTATTCGTATTTATAGTGCGGCATATCTGTGATTTGAAAATGAATAGGTATTTATAAATACGTTAGACAATATTGACGAGCATATATATTGTTATTTGATAATGTATAATGATAAATGCATTTAAAACTATGATTCACCATGGCAACGCTGTTCTCGTGTCACACTCCTGAGTGAATGAAATTCTCTAATACGCATGCGCACCGCACGATAACAAACACCGCACATGCGTATTAGTTGTTTTAATTTTGTGAGTTGTCTGTTTTGTCTGAGTTGGTGTGCAGTGTGAAGTAACAAAAAAAGCATTGAAAATATGTTTTCGTTTATATTTTTAATAGTAGAATGTTAATCAAATGTATGTAAAAATACATCAAAATTGGTGCAAGCTATTTTTAATGTATAGATTTTCAAATTTACTATATTTTAGTGGCATGTTATTGACGAATTTGTTTCAACAGTTGTCTGATTTCAATAATAAATAGTATCAAAAAGGTTACAATTATTGTCGTCTTTGTAACCAATAATCAACCTGCATAAGCCGTTACTAACAAAACCTCTTCTCATCCAACCATTTCGAGTGATAATCAGTGATCATTACTGAAACGTGAATCGTCACTTTAACTGCGCTCACTCAATTACGTTCAACGTTAATAACATACCTGCAGAGAGTGATTTTAGTGCCACGTACGTTGACATAAAAGTGATATAAACATCACACTGCTTAAAAAGAAAAGTGAAGCTCAGCTGGATTATTATCGTACAGCTACATTAATCGTATTTTTTACTTAATTCTCAATATCAAAGTATATTTATCTCGCGACGTGGCACAAATGCCAGGGATTTATTGGTGCTTCGAACCTTTAGTTATATTTTTACTATCACTGGTTACGTTTAATGTTATTTGCCAGCACGATACGAAATGACGACAATTTGAAGGTCACTGTTAGTTAATAATGTTATCAATATCTTCTTCGTGTCGAAATTCGCTTGATAAAATAATATATCAAAAGTTTAATATTTCAATTCACAAGTAATACGGGAGTGTTTATTTATTTATTTATTTATTTATTTATTTATTTATTTATTTATTTATTTATTTATTTATTTATTTATTTATTTATTTATTTATTTATTTATTTATTTATTTATTTATTTATTTATTTATTTATTTATTTATTTATTTATTTATTTATTTATTTATTTGTATATATATATATTCATGTTTCCATTCCTCACATGTACTCATCTATTTTACCCACATCCACCATTGTGCAAAGAAAAAAACACGATAATGAGTAATAAAATGTTCTCCCTTTTCAATTTGAAAAGATTAAAATCGCACAAAACATGTTTCCCGATGTCGCGATATCGTTGACGTGTTTCCGCGTACAATGTGCGCAACCGCCAACGTATGATACCATATATAAATGAGTCATTAGCTGAGATTCACAATAAAACATTTTTGTGAACCGAACATACAAGGAAGAGTGAGAAGGACTGTTTTCCCGAGTGAAGACCCGGGCAACAGACCCCATACATATATACTGTATGCCATGAATTAACACTCGCCATACCGTCAGTGTGTAAGGCTATAGTGTAATTGATTCGTGTGTAACCTATTAAAGACCCGCCGCAACTGTTTTTTTTTAGCTGAGCCGGGGGCATCATCAAATAGGCTCATTAAAACCTTTGAAATTCATCCATATAGCAGTTATTACGCCCGTGGTTTGTTCTTAGTTGAAACAAGTGTCACACTCTAATGGGTACATGTTTCACGGGTGTGAAAGTTACTGTGTTTTGTCTTGTTTGTTTTTGTTCTCATAGAATATGTTTTCAATTAGTATAACCCTCTGTAGACTTTGATGAAATTTTATATTAATATTCTCTTATCTTTTGCAGATTTCTGAATTGCTTATCTTCTACTAGCAATCATGTCACCATCAGAATGACCAATAACCAACGCGAATAGTCGGCGATTGGAACGGCTGTTTGTATACGCTTTTCCACCACTTCCTATTATAATCATAACCGGGATATGGCCAAATGTATTACCATAACAATAACAAGCTACGACGTTGATGAGTGTAAACAAACAAATGTATGCCCCTGTATTTTCCTGTATGCCACATTGGAATAAGTACTTAATGTTCATTCACTATTAACCGATCGGACTGAAATTGCGAGAGCGTACACAACGTTCAAAATGGGTGAAGATTATTTGACTATTACCGCTCGTTTTTGAACACTGTGCCCGACCACGCCATTTTGTGCAATTGTTTCATACCTATGCCTGTCTTCAACGCTACAAGACGAGATATGTTAAGATGTATTACAACAATTCAAGTTATGCAGCAAATACAACTTCGCTGAATGGAGAGATTATCATATATTTATCGGCGGAAAACATTTTTGTGTCTATTTTCGCAATAGCTGTCACTTTCGTGACGGTCTTTGGAAATACTTTAGTAGTTCTGGCGGTGCTGACGGAGAGACGACTCAGGAAAGTCTCTAACGTCTTTATTGTAAACTTGGCAGTTAGCGATTTGCTTGTTGGATTATTCGTAACACCGATGGCCGCTATTAGCTACGTCACGGAATACTGGTCGTTTGGAGTGTTTGTATGCGACCTTTTTATTTCCTTGGATGTAATCTGCTGTACAGCGAGCATATGTAGTCTCTGTGTTATTAGTATCGACCGGTACAAAGCTATCACCCAGCCGCTGAAGTACGCATTAAAAAGGACGCCTCAACGGGCTGCCGTCATGGTTGCCATTGTGTGGTTCGTAGCTCTTGCTGTTGCGCTTCCACCGCTGTTTGGGTGGAGAGAAGACCGTAGTTCCGAAATCACAGAGTGTTTAATCAGCCAAGAAGAATCATATACCATATACTCAACAGTCGGTGCATTTTATCTCCCATTGTTTATCATGGTGGGAGTGTATCTGAAAATTTTTCAAGCCATTAAAAATCGCAGGAAGAAATTTCTCGACCACGGAGACGTATCGACGACACAGGTGCATTTGACTTCTACGAGCGATAAGAATAAACATTCAGTAAACGCCGAACAGATGTATCCATTAAGGAGGTTGCGTAAAGAGACCGGTGACAGTAAAACAAAAACAGAGGTTGTTCACCCGCAGATAGGTTACCGATTAAGCAAACAGCAAAGTTACTCATTATTCGTGTCGGAAGATGAAATTGATTCTGACGATGATATGACTGTGATCCCACTTCCGGAAACGGCACTGACTTGCTCCAACTCATATTTGACAACTTTGGCTGCGATTCAACTCCAGCGTAACCTAACGATGAGTAACCCGGATTTAGTTCAGATAACGGCAAAGAAGGTCAGAAAAAAGGCGTGTTGTGGAAAAGGAAGGCGACCTAAAAAACCGTGCTTGACGCCAGCGCTGCGGAATCGGCGTTCAATTTACAACAAACAGGTGTCCTTTGCCAAACAGTTGTCCTTTCGCCTGAAAACATCGCGCTCGTGTAGCGTTAGTGGCAAGCTGGCCTGTAACGGCAAGGTAAACGTGAAATTCAAAAGAAAATACAGATCACCAATAATTGTAACACCTCCCGAACACACTTCACGAAGCTCATCGTCGCGTGACGCGCGCATATCCGTCTCGCAAGAGAAAAAAGCCGCCAAGACGCTAGGGATAATCATGGGAACGTTCATTTTTTGCTGGCTGCCATTTTTTATTATGGCGCTTGTTCTACCCTTTTGTAAGGAGCATTGCCAGAATTTTCCTATCGTCGTCATGGATATATTCACGTGGTTGGGATATATGAACTCGGCGCTGAATCCGCTTATTTATACTTTTTTTAATCTGGAATTTAGAAAAGCTTTTAACAGAATTTTAAGATGTAAATGTTCTTCATACTCCTACTGAGGCCATGTTAATACATTTCATTCACGTACTCACATTGCTTATTTTAAAATATCGGCGTGACTATAATCGATTTAATACTAGACTCAATATAATTTTTAGATATAACGACACATCATGTTCAGACAGTTACAAGCAAGCGGTTACGCCATTTGAAGCGATTTGGTGAATATCATCACACTTAAACAACAAAAAATCAAAACATTCGCCGTCAGTGTCGTTGTATGACGTGATAGCATAAGTCATACCCGGTTTACTTCACTCAATAACACTTCAGCCTTGTAGCCGTCTGTCCTTATAGGCACTTTATACACTATAAGGACATTATTTGTACCGCAACCCCCACAGGAGAATCGAATACTCTACGGATACACTTAGCACCTGAACATTTACCGGAGGTAATACGCTTTCAAAGAAATATCCATAGTGAAATGTAATACCTTACACAATCATGACACTAAATGGGGGATCAATTACTCGTTTCATAGTCCACACTTCGATTGGAAATAACCAGTATTTATATATAAATCAAATAAGTCACCTATATTATCTTTGATGATTCCGCTGCATGAAATGCGCGGCACGCTATCTTGGAAACTGTTCCGACTTAAAGTCAATTATTGAAAATCGACAATTTTATCAAATTGATACGACCTTTGGCTTTCGCTCGGCATCGCAATGGCAGGTGTACATAATGTGATAAGTGTATCCTTGAAGCTCTGGTTGCTGACGTCATATGCATGTAAGTCAACAGCACGTCTCTTCCATTCTGCAAAAAACACGACGCAGCTTGCAGAGAATTGTTGATATGTGTGTGAACTTTAAAAATATCACACTATCGTTATGTAAGTTTTACCCACAATGCACATCAATACGCAAATCGGCTAGGAAGTGTTTTATTCCAATTTTGCAGGTAAGCCTTAATATTAAGACATGTAAGAAAATACTACCCAGTAAATAATTTTCGGGCGTGGCATATTTTAACGAACGATCGATGCGTGACACGGTTTCAATTGTTAGGCACAATTAACACATTTACAATTGAAGGATTGCAGCCGTGTCATTTTTTTATCATTTGGAGATGTTGATTGAGTTATGATTAAAAAATACAACTAGCTTACCTAACCATATTCCATATGAGTCGATATTATAAGCGAGGAGGTGGGCTTATTACTAATTTATAAACCCTTATATACTGTACGTCCACTCGTGACGAAAAAAAACGCTTCCTGTTTGAGATGCTGATTAGATGGGGATGCTACTATACGCAATGAAAGGCAGGGTAAGTTGTGAGATAATGGAATGCAACATCGCTGATAATGTTTGATTTCTTATGTGCGCAATAACAGTATCATAACATGTATTCATGAACATTGTTGTCAAATGTACAACAATGGATTTTATGTGAACGTTTACTGCTGCACTTTTGAGGGATAATAGTAATTAAATTTTTGAAAACAAATCTGCAATCAACTTTTATTTCCAAAACATCCTTCACAACACTATGATCACATTCTTTGTCTCATGCGCACTTTTTATCTCAAGTGATACGCTGTATTATACATTTACTTGATTTCATTGATTATAACATTTTTCAATAAAATATCATCATCCGCTGTCAGTTTATTACACTGTGCCGAGTTATTACGAGCCCTCGTTAAATTATAATGATTATAATGATGAGGCAGAGAAGGAACATGCATTAAACATCGTAGACCCTTCGCTGTCTGAGTAATAACTGGGTCAAGTGCATGTGATTTCTGTCAATGGTGTTTGCTATATTAATGAAAATGAAATTGTAATTATCCATATCGCCTGCGCTTCTGGGTTATCTTAGTTTGAGAGAGTTCACTAACCGAATTGTCGGCAATGTAGAGAATACTAATATAGAACGAAAGGATAGCCGAGGACAGACGAGTCACGACGTGCCATACTACAGTTTGGTTGATGCGCTCAAGGCGATTGTTCTAAAATTACACGTATCTCATTGTTGAGAAGATCACGAATTGCTAAACTCATGCATTTGTTGTTAATTTAAATGATGATCCGTATTCAATCGTATAATTATGACGTTATTCGTAGACTGCCTGGACATATATCAACCGGGTATAAAGCACTCTATTCGTAGTACTTTCGTTCGTTTAACTAAACTGGATTATGCTTTATCGTAAATACGGCAACTTGTTATTTATTCGATTGAATTATCAACTAATTGTGTTTGCCCTGATAACAATCGCTTTACTATAAAATTGTAAACAATCGTCGCGCCTCTGATCTTGACATTGCTCTGGTTTAGGTTTGCTGATTTTAAGATAGTACATTACGCGAATTGTACAGATTGAGAATAAAGAGCTCTCGACATACTGCATTGTCAGAGAAAGGATAGCCAAGAACGAATAACTAGTCACCACTTGCTCTAATGCACTCTGTTCTTTTTTCTGCATTTTGAAAATGGCATCAGCAAATGTGCTGTTATCGTTATTGTTGAAGTTGTTTGTATGTTAACGTTATTTGCAGACATACTGACAGAACATTTATCGGAAAATGTGGGTCTGAAATCAGACTAAAAGTAAGCTCAAGATTGTAGCATATATATATATATATATATATATATATATATATATATATATATATATATATATATATATATATATATATATATATATATTGACTGTCAGTTAGTTATAATTAAAAAAATACTGTGTTTCAATGCATATATATATATATATATATATAACTCCGTGGTGTTATTTCCAGAAACGCAATTATTTGAAAGATATTTAATGCTGCAAGGCAGTAATTAGAGTATTATATCCAATATTGAACTACATATAATTCATCCAGCTTCCGAAAGAACTGGTTACATATATACCTTGGCGTCAAAGGCTCGGATCATATGAATAATACTACACTCGTTTAATAAGTCCGATATCTATTTGATATTTTCTATAAATGTATTCGTGTTATCAAATACAATATTACAGGCGGTGAAAGGCGGAGAACGCTCGGCGACGTGCGATGACTATTATTACTAAAATATAACGTGCCTTGAATTGTATAATTGTTAAATGAACTAACATTTCTGTAAAGCAGACTGAACAAAATAATTAGGATTAAGCAGACTTGATTTACAGTAAAAACAATACATATCACACTCACCCCGAACAAATCTATTTCCATTTAATCATGTGTGTATACACAGCAGTATAGGCAGTACCGATAAAACATTGTTTGAATTTGTGATATCATCATTTGAAGCTTGGTAGCACTTCATGTTGTCTAGCAACTTCAACCCTTATAACTTATAGATTACTTTTTGAACCAACACAAAAATTATCATACTCATAGGCAAATTATTTACCCTGAATAAAGGACAACAACAATTGTGCAAAGCTTGATATGTGAATCCAGGTTAGACTAAGCTAAGGCTGACTATTTAGTGGTTTGTCACCTTAGATTATTCATACATAAACAACCCAGGTCGCAAAAAAAAGGGTAAAACATTAGAAACAAAAACGTCTCAAAAGCGCAACAAAACTATAATTATCATAACAATATATTGGCAGAAAGTTAAAAGAAGTATTGTATATTTATTTTGATGTGTTATTTGTGCATTTACAAGTAGAATGGCAGGCGATAATATTTTTGAACAAACATGTACCGAAAATGATGGACAGCAGAGACCACACCATTTCCCAGCATGCCTTGCAGATTATACATTTTACCGTGAAACAAACATTTCACTACTGGGCGCTCGTGAATATAATTCCCATATAACAGTATTTACCGGTGCTGTCAATCTTTAAGGAAGTCCATTCAAAGAGAACGCATTGGATGTAAAACAATGCATCTAATGTGCGTAGTCCTGATTTTTATATAATTTATCATTTCGCCATACAACGTCAAGTTAAGAGCGTCAGGTCTAAGAGGGGCAAATACTGACAGGGAAATAAGTTAGTTATTCAAAACCGTGAAAGAAACAGAATTATATCAGTTCCAGGCATGTTACATCACCGGCAAAATTCGTCCCCTTACAACCAATTAACAAATAATGGAATAGTTATTCTGGTAAAAGTCCGATAAAATCAATGTGTTGTATGGGAATCCTACTAAAAAATTATGGAATGATTATTGTGGTATAAAATATTTAATGCAATACTGTACGTGTTACTTTTATAGATTTCCTCGAGGACGGATACATTTTCTAATCTCGGTGTAAAACAATAATAATTATGTCTGTGTGACTCAATGTAATCGTTATAACATGCGCCTCACGGTCATTGCACCTGGCTGTGCTAATACATCTGTTAGACGTGGGCGAGACAATGTATCGTGCACTGAAGGTACATGCTTATTCGCTTCTCAATACATATGAATATTTTTTGTTTTACGGCCTTGCATTTATTGTAACTAAAAAGTACGAAGCAAATTGACAACACGTGGAACATGGTCATTTATTTGAGATGAATTATCCGTCTGTGATACTAATGAAAATGTAGAAAGTTTAAAAACAGAGAAATTCCAGTCATTCACTTGTCGCAATGCTATTTGGGTATCTAACGACTCACATGTAAGTCTTCTTGAGTTTTACGATAGGGAACATTTGGTGAAATTAAAATAATGTTAATTTTTGAATTTTATCCTCAAATTAAACTTAATCATTTAAATGTACTCTCTGTAATACGAGTGTGTCATTTCACAATTTCCTCAAATTATCTAATAATTTACCAAAAATAAGAAGCCTGATCATTCTGGTATCATATCTAAAGTCATATTATATATACATTTGCATAACAAGTTGAAATGTTGAAGAATGTTTTACTAGGAGCAAAGATGCATTAGTACCACATTCAGGCAAACATGGCTGCGCTGTGGAAAAGTGAAGGATGACCTTTCGTTGCATACTCCGTTAAAAACGCACCGTCGCGAGAAGAAATGCCAGGAAAATGAATATTTTTGACGACATAGACCGGTGGACCCCGGTGGTCCACGAATAGGTCAGA